CTAAGAATGGACGGTTTTATCATCAATATAACTCTAATCGATAGAACTTTATTGGTGATAATCTATATTAAATAATTCAAAAAGAGTCCAAATGACGCGAACTTGTTTACAATTGACAATCCCCCCTAACAGCAAATCAATGATCTGGTTAATTAAAATTATCCCAACAAGCACGTGCTTTGTAAGGATGAATTTCATTGGAAGATTACCCATACGCCTGAAACGTGGAAGTTTGTCTAAATATTGTAGTAAAGATACAATATTAATTTAACAATAGTCATTTAAGCTCAACTAAGCCCTTAATCTGATCCGTATCCGCGAATCTGTTCCAGGAATTACGATTTCGTGTTCGCTTCTGATTATTACCGGACATCAGCTAAATATTTCAAATGTGGGAATATCATAAAACTTGGTGACCTTACATCGATGTATTCAATGTTTTACGAAAGGTCATAGTCTAAGTCAGTAACCTGCACATTTTTCCTCTGTGAAAATCACAGTTTTATCACATGGAAGGAAAAAGAAATTTTTATTTGTTTTCAATAATTTTTGTACATGTATTGTTACATTTACAAATGTTAAAAAGGCCATGGGTCAAGGAATAGTTAGCCCACCTACCTTAGAAAAGGGGGTTTGGCAAATTCTTTTTAATATTGCAATTATATTATAACAAATCGAAGTATTAAGGTCTTTGCTCTTTCTGAATTATTAATTTCAAATATCAAAACCTAATTCTATATCGTTTTTTTTTATTTTGACGAACGGTGATGCAATGGTAATTGAAAATAGGAATTTTTGTGAAATTCACGACGGTTGTGATAGGTAGATTGAGGATGCTTCTTCCTCTTTGGCACCTGATCCCACCTCTGTTTTAGGGGTCTGTATTGGCTCATGTATTTAAAACTCAACAATCATCATGTATTTAACAAAAAATGAAATAGAAAAGGCCTTATAATCCATGGAGATGTAGAGGTGAAATAGCTAACCTTGACTCTGTGACGTGCAGAGGTCAAGTAGCGAACCTTGACCCGGGAAGTGAAGAGGTCAAGAACGCATACATGTATTTAGGTTTTGTTCTAAGTCACATAACGGTAGAGCATGATGCTCATTGCTGTTTTTTAATACTATAATAATAACTGACAGTACCAATAAGAACATGCTGAAAAAGAAACGGATAATAAGTCATACCTTTTCGAGCAGGGTTTTGCTAAAACGCGGAACGGAAAACGGAAAATTTGATGTCAAGTTTTTCATTATGAACAGGAATAATTCAGACATAGGAAGCAGTATTCTTTATCTAATACATGTAGTTCAAATTTAATTAAAAGTTATCGTAGCATTGTGATTTATTCATGATTTTTTCCCCTCACAACATCATTATTGATTATGAAAGGGGCAATGTTGTTTTGAAACATGCGGAGAGAAAGAGAAAGACAGTATATATACATATGTGTTAGAGACAATGATCACTGGCATTAAGGAATTTTTTTTATCACAACTACAGGAATGTTGATGCATTCCACATGGACCTGAAACGGGGATTTAAGAAAGATAGCATAGATGTATATGACCATATTGTTCAAAACAGCGCAAACTGATTGCACAGAATAACATAAAGATGGATGGGGAAATTACATATTTTCGAGAAAATTTAGAGCTGTTATTTATATTTTAGTACTGGGTAAGGGGGGGGGGGTGCAGAGATGTACGTTATCCACGCTTAAGGTACATGAGTACGTGTAAATATGCATTGAAAGTTATGAAATTTTTATTTTTCGCTCATACAGCTCATAAGGATATCGAAAATCTGCCGTTCATATTGATCAGAGTGATCTTCAATAAAATTTCCCACTCATCCATATTTTACCACAACATGTTACATATATATGATATACATATCATATATGTACGGCATTAGATGTTTTCTGTTCCGTTTTCCGTACCCTGTGCTTTGTCTATGTTCTGAGATCTTCATAAATAAGAGAATGAACATGACTAAATCAACTCGTATTTTAATAATTAAGGATAAAATATGAAAAATTTATATAACGTATGCCGTTTCTGGTTATGATTTTTATATTTTAAGTGATTTAACCTGGAATCATATTTTCCGTTTTCCGTTCCGCGTTTTAGCAACACCCTTTCAAGCAAGTGGGAAAGATTTGTACTTATTCAAACAAACAAAGGAGAAAATCAAGAATATGAATTTTTGAACAAACCTCTTTTGATTTGAATAAGATAGTTATACTTTCCGTGTAGAATTAAGTAGATGACAGAATGTCAACATTTGCAAAAATTATGTATGTAATCTATCATTCATTATGGTTTCAATATTGCGTGGTAGTGTGTGTTAATTTAAGTGAATGCAATTAGTCTATTAAAAACCAATATACGTCTCGTTTGTCAACTTATAATGTTAGTTTATGCCGTCGGGATCGTAATTCTGCTTGCACAAAAGAAACAATGACTTTGTGATCGAGTGGGGCATCACATGATTGCACAATATTTACGTTTAATAAAATTCAATCAATGCCAAGCAAGTTCAAACTGTTTTAATTCGTCTTAAGCGGATCCGGAAACAATAGCGCAATCTTGGCAGTGGGAATGTTTTAAAGATCACAATTTTAATAGCTGATGTCACAAGCTTTAAACAAACCTTGATGAATTGTTTTTATACGTCTAAAGGATCGCTAATTGATTCTGTGCTATATTCATCATTCTGAATGCACCAAGAACGTATAAAAATTCAGTCATGCAAATTTTTCCATGAGGATTTCTTTAAAGAAGAATTAAAGCACTTTATTTAGTTTTGTATGAACATGCACTTTTCTATCGATTATCAAGGATTATTCAGGAGATACCAAAAATGAAGGTAAACAAATTGTTTGCTATGTCAATAATTGCATTAAAATAAGAAGTACCCAAGACACTTTTGTGGCTATATTACGGTTAATAAAGTTATAAACCGATAGGATACAGTCATCAACCTAGAAACGAAACAGCCAGCATCTTATCATGATTTCATCGAAATGAAATGAAATAAGTACATGTATGTAAATGATTTGTAGGAAAGAAGATGGGCGAACAAGGTGTGTAAAATGCTTATAGCTTCAAATGTATAAAAATCATATTTAATTTGTGAACTAAATGTTTAGAGCAATGTTCTAATTATTGAACGGTATTAATTTATGACAAACAAAACTTTTCTGTGGAAAAATTCTCTTTCAGCAAAAATTTTTCTCAAGTGAATAAAAAATAAAAATAAAATTAAAAATAAATCAAGGATTTCTTCGAGTCTGACCCCAAGAGATAAAAATTTTCTTCCTGGAGTCTGACACGCTATCATATACAACTCATAATAGGTAGTGGTATTTAAATGAAATCTTGTTTGTGATGTGACACTTGAATAACGATTTCAAATATTTCTCAGAAAGATACAATTTTTTTGTCATAGAAGTGTATTTTAAAGGTAGATTGGGTTTTTGCTCCATGTTTTTTGTTAAGCAAAAAATGTCTATATTTAATCATACTTTGAAAATATACTTTCAAAAAAGTGGAGCGAAAATGTGTTTCAGTATGAAAAAATGAGTGTGTATACTATTTCATGCATGAATAATTTTAGCACTTGTGAAATTATTGTAAATTGTGGAGATTTTACAGAAAGTATACATCAATGTTAACTGAAATATCAAAGAAAATTGTATTATATTGAAATTTGATTTATCAATTTCTTATTGTCAAACCATAGGCATAACACATAACGCATTACGCATAACACCTAAGCTATAGCACAGCGGAAGATGGAAAAAATGAACACCGTACCTAGATCAACAGAATTACAATATGTAATCATCAATTCTGCCAAAACAAAAGTAATGATATTAAAAAATGTTTTCAACAACCAGGAAATAACAATCAATAGAAGCATAAACGGAGATAATGACATCTTTGTCTGTCTTGGTGTAACTGTATTTAAAGAAGGACAGACAGACAGACAGCTAGACAGACAGACAGACAGGGAGATATAGAGAATACTGGGTCATGCTAGAGTTACCTACGACAGACTCTTCAAGATACGGTCAAACAGCCAACTTTCAAGAAGGATCAAATTGAACATCTTGAAGTCAAACATAATATCTGTTTTGTTATATGGTGCTGAAGCATGGCAGATGAACAAAGGAGATGGAAAGCTACTTGACACCTTCCTCCATACGTGTCTGAGAAGGATACTGAGGATATTACGGCCATGTGAAAATCACAAATGAAAGAGTAAGAGAACTAAATGAAAGTAAACATGGACTAAATCAGTAAAATTATAAGAACCAGAAGATGTAAACGGATAGGGCATGTGGTGTGAATGAGAAACAGATAGCCATGCCAGAATAGAATTAAAGTGGACACCGGAGGAACGGAGAAGACAAGAAGACCAAAGGAAACATGGAGAAGAACCGTAGACGACGTGGGTTTAAATCGTGGAGTGATGCTACCGTCAAAACCAAAGATGGATCAAAATGTTATGTAGAAGACTAATTCATGACCCGATTCTCCACAGGGAGATACGGAATTAAGTAATTAAGTCCAATTATAGGCATTTTTCTGGGCTTCTTCTCCCATCTTCTTTACATGAATTAAATTTGAGTTGAGAGAGATTCTTTATAATGTACCAACTTTAATTTAAAAAAAAAAATGTACAGCCGATTGAGTTTAAGGACAGAGCTCAGCATGTCTACAAAAAAGACAATTATAAATGCATTTAAATTTTGTACACCGAACCCGATATCATTATACAAATCAATATTTTCTTTCATGTTAATATTATTCACCGTTTTTTTTTTTTATAAGTATTTTGTTTAAATAAGCATGTTGACTTACTTTCCATCTTAAAGTAAAACTGAATAATAAAATTATGATCGAACAGAAATTAACACATTTAAAATTTTCAACGTACATGTACCAGTGAAATGGTACCTGAAACATTTTGACTATCTATCACTTACGTTTCATTTCGAGGACAGAAATGCCGAAGATGTTGACGTTCCCACAGAATTCGTTGCCATACAAATATACTCCCCTAAATCTGATTGGTGTACTGGGAAAATGGTGACATTAATGTTGTGGGGAGCAGTTGCGATTTGTGCTTGACTTGATATTGTAGTGCTACCTGAAAGCTTCAACGAAAATCCAATCTCAGTACTGCTATCAGATCTACAAACGCAAGTTTAAATCTAAAGGAGACAACAGTCCGGAAAAACAAGGAAGATAGACAAAGGTACAGACAGATGTTGTTGGGAGTGTGTAAAGTTATTAGACAGGTAAAATAACAGGCAAACTTCGATTAGAAAATTTCACCTGCGCTCTTGGATCAGATGAATTGATAACCGATAGTACAATTAGAACTCTCATTCAATGATGTTAACTGTCTTCGCCAAACATTTTCAATTAATTACTTTGTTATTAGACTAACTAAGAAATAGCTACTGCTGCAATGCTTTCTGTCTTAACGTGTCTCATACTTACTCCTTTAAATGCCCAGTGCATTGTAGCATTAGATGACGGGTCAGTCCTACAGACCAGTATAACTCCCTCAAATTCGGGTCTTAGTGTGCTGTTCTGTGGTTTGGTTGTGAATATTGGCTTTACTGAAGACAAAAGCATGTTTATAAAAGCCATGCACTTTTGGTTTTATCGTTTTTGAATAAAATCATATAAAAATACACAAAAGGCATGACGACAGCAACAATTCATAATCGTATAATAGCGATCATTATATAATAATCAAATTGTGCCTTTCTTTCTAGACTTCTAGACTTTCTAGAGTAGAAATCAGTCAAAAAATATATACCAATCCAGGCATAAAATTTTTGTTTGTGTTACAGTATATGTATCCTTAAATTATCTTGTCGTCATCAGTGGTCGTCATCGCATACTTACCTCATTTTAATATGTCACAAGGTCCGATGTTGACGAATCTTCTATCATCGTCAAAATCCTCATTTAAATATCTTGTCGTCATCAATAGTAGTCATCACCATACTTACCTCGTTTAGGGATGTCACATAGCCCGATTCTGCAGAATTCTCTATCTTCGTCCAGATCATCATTCTACCCATCTAGTCTTCATAAATAGTAGTCATCGCATACTTACCACGTTTGGGAATTTCACATAGTCTAATGTTGCAAAATTCTCTATCATCGTCATTATCCTCATTTAAATCATATTGTTGCCTTCAGTAGTAGTCATCGCATACTAACCTCGTTTGGGAATGTCACAAAGTCCGATGTTGCAGAAGTCCCCATCACAGCAGTCGTTACAGTGGTTCAGTGTTACTGTGTCTGTTCCGTGTGATGACGTATGTGATGACGTTTGATAACTGTGCCACAAATTCATCAGAGCCTTACAAGTCTGAAAAAATTGCCACCTTTTAAAACTCCAAGCTCTTAATAAAAAAGTGTTAAATTTTTAATAAAAAATCAATTTGGAGCAAACACATATCATACGGTAAATAGTCACAGATATTGATTTTTTTGTTTGTATATTTTTATTATCCTTCTTTTAAGTATTACAGCAATTCTGGTTTGTCGAGAATATACCACGTGCAGAGAGACAATGCGTGATATCTCCCTTACTTGTAAGTACATGTATAACTACTGTATTTCCTAAAATGGCGCAAGCCGGATAATTAACCAAGAACATGATGTGCAAGTATATAGTTTAAGGTTTGACAATCAAGCTACTTCTAATTTTAAGCTTTTAAACAGGTTTACATCAATGTTACAGTTTACACTCACATCTTTACGTTGACAATCCATATTATACCGGATCTCGTGGTTGAGTGGATGTCTGTATGTTCCCGTGTAACACATCTGTAATTGAAGTAAAAACTCAACTTTTTTTGTAAAATTTACTTGAAATCCTTTCCCAAAATATTAACAACTTTTTATACAAATTTCCATGTTAAATTCTAATAAACTAACTTTATTTGAAGATTCAAAGTTTTTTCTTTCTCAAATGTCAAGGTCACGATAATGAATTGTGTCGGGAACATAACTTTGGAACCAAGTATTTTTGAAATAATTCAACTTTATGGACTTAGTGTTTTTACGAAAAGACGTATTTCATTTAATTTAAAAAAGAAAATGCATTTCCAAATCATAGTGTGGGTGTTTATAAACACTTCTGTTTTATAAACTTCATATTTATTATTGAACTTCGGCAATCGCAACTTCTCGGGCCTTTCCGACTAGCGGAAATGTTGCGTATGCGTCCATGACAACAGCCCTTTTCATAAACTTTGAAATAAATGTAGGGAGACCTCTTACCTGTAGAATATGGAGCTTAACTTTATTGAATGTAAAGATATAACCTAAAATATAAACCAGAAGAAACTATATAGTAATTTGATATATAGGAAGCAACTCCATTTTATATAAAAATTTTTAACATCCTGTGATGTTAATACATTCGAGGTGTTTTTCCGACTTTGCCGGAAAGGCCCGAGAAGATGCGATTGTGAATTTCGGTTGAGGTTAAAGTCAAAAGATGGCTGACGCAAAATAATTCCTTAATCTCGCCTCCAGATTCGGGCATTTTCGAACGAGCCTGGAGCTGAGTTTTTTTATGAGATAAAAAACTATATGTTAACTTCCTGTATTTACCAGATTCATAAAAATTTAGGGCGTACTGAAATTTTTGTATACTGTATTTGTAGGGGGCGTGAATAGTCCCTGCACTTGATTTTCAAGCACCTGCTCGACTTCGACCAAAACAAACTTGCATGCATTGCTGGATGGCTATATTTTTTTGGTACTGAAATGTTTATAAAGAATTGCTTTACAAGATCTCAAAGGAAACCTTTTAAACGTTTGTTTTAAATTAAGATCGCCTACTCAGAGTTTTAAGATTTAATACTGTAGTGCAACCTGCAGCACTCAAGATTGCAAGGCCTATCATTTTTTGAACACCAATCCCGATATAAATAAATCAACACTCACTGAATCTACATCACAGGAAATAATATTTTCGCAGTTTTCCGGCTGGGTTGTATCGGAACAAGAGTAGCATCTCGTCTCAGTGGCAGCTAAATATAGAAATAAATATATGTGTTCACTTGATTATTTTTAAATAAAATAAGGAAGAATTATCTTTCACTGGAAATCATTTTATTGGAAACTCACGAGGTTTTCCGCATAAATTGTCGTTGCAGGGATATGTTGCATTTCCTGTTTCACAGCACTCATAACAATTTGTTATCCCAGTGTCTCTCTTTTTACCGATACCGGACACTACATGAACTATTTTACAGCTCTTTAAAAATATATATTTCATATATAAAATCGGAACGTTGGGAAAAAAAATCATCTTTTCTTATATTTGAAATGTTACTATAATGATTAAACTACAAAATTAAATCTGAATCATTTAAAAGGAAACACTTACAAAAATATTGAAAGGTAGACTAATAATCTCCTTGACGCCACTTGCCATAAGATACAAAAAAAAAAAAAAAAAAAAAAAAAAAAAAAAAAAAAAAGTATTACTAATAACCTGAAAATCTTTGATCCTCCTAAATATTTATTTTTCCTACCTGTTTGCTCAAGCATCCTGACTCAAACATTGGTTTACCGTTCAGCTGTGTAAATTTCCTGACAAAACATGCCTGAAACACGAAATAAAAACCCTTTGCAATTGGCCACAACGTTCACCTTAGAAATAGCCAAATTCATAATATTATCTTAAGCCAAGTCTTTAAAAAGCCAAGATGAATTTTAACAATCGAAAACTGTTACAACCGAATTTCAAATTTTGATGAGATTTGTATTTTTTGGGGTGGGATGGGGGTGGATTTGGGGAGAGGTCAATTTTAAATTAAAATTTTTACTATAAATATAACAAAAAAAAAAAAAATGAGAGAGAGAGAGAGAGAGAGAGAGAGAGAGAGAGAGAGAGAGGCGAAATGGATCTCACCTCGCTATCACTACAAGTTGTAATAGTTCTACAATCAGATTGGTCGGGTACCCCATTGCAGCTAAAGCATAGCTGTTTTGATGAGATGACGACAACTACAATCAGAATACCGTAAAACACGATTATAACGAATGGGATGACGACAACAACAATCAGAATACAGTACAACACGGGTATACCAAATGAGACGACGACATTTACAATCAGAATACAGTAGAACACGGGTATACCGAACGAGATGACGACAACTATAATCAGAATACAGTACAACATGGTTTTAACAAATGTGATGACGACAACTTCAATCAGAATACAGTAAAACACGGGTATACCGAATCGGATGACGACAACTACAATCAGAATACAGTAGAACAAGGTTATAACGAATCAGCCGGGGTCGTTATGATTGTAATTCATAACATCCATATGCTGACTTTTATTCATCATTTTCTAAAATATTACACGGTAAAAAAAAGTCGAATCGTTATAAGCATGGATTCGCAATATCCATGTTTGTGTGTAATTTTTTAGTATATGTCTCCGTATTTGAAAAAAATATATCTCAATCATAATCTGATTGGTTGAGAAGTTTTTAATTTCATTGGAATTGGTTAGGGAAGTAATTTTCTGGAAAATTTTCATTAGCTGATCCTAATTCTCATGAGATGTCATCTGAGACGTTTAAATGTCAAAATGCATAACAGAAGATTAATTTCCTTGATTGTATGAACCAATTTAGCTACTTTTAATACATTTAATTCTGGTTTACCCGCTCTTTAATCAGAAATATTACCCTGAGAAGGAACATTAAAAATGTTTATTTTTCTGAAAACTATTTCTAGAAATATTGAAATGTGCTCCCTGATGATAATAGTGACACACGTGGCTACAGTCCACATAAGTATTCCATTTTTGATTATAGTTTTTGGTAAAAAGTATTGATTTTATTTTAAAAAATTATGATCAAGGTCAAAGTGTTTCAAAAATAGGTCAAACTCTTGTCACAAGGAATACACATATGAAATATAAAAGTCCTTGCACCAATCGTTCAAAAGTTATGACCAATGTTAAAGTTTTTCAAAAGTAAGTCAAACACCAAGGTCAAGGTCACAAGGTAAAAATATGTTGACACCTCAAATAAGAAATTGTTAAATAAGAAAGCCTGAAGTTTTTCAAAAGTAGGACTAATTCCAAGGCCCAAGGTCATGAGTTCAAAATGATACCCCAAACAAGGCCTTGTACCAGGTAATGCATACATAAAAAATGAAAGCCATGGCACAAACCCTTTACAAGGCATGACAAAGGTTAAATATTTTGCTGACAAAGAAACAGCTTGACAGATGAACCCCGAGTCTCCGATTACTGACATAAGCATAAAGAAGAAAACAAAGTAAAGCAACAATTAGGAAAAGTAAAAGTCTTTCAATCAATACTTTAGAAAAATAAATGTACACAACATTTAAGAAATAATTATTTGTCAAAAGAGCAGTAATATGGCCTGTAGCAAATTATTATGGCTTTATAATTTCTTTCATATTACGTAAAATGTACTCAACCAGTTGTTAACAGCAAACTGAGGGCCGCAGCAATCAACATGTCTGAAAAAAAAAACAGGGTGTGTAGAACTATGTTGGACTTATCTCATTCTCACGCACATTTAACGTCAAATAACATACCCCCCTCTTCCATTCTGGCGATGAGAATTGGGGATTTGGAGGAAGTTTATACATTAATCAATGCTAAAAATCAACTAGCTACATTTACAGATAATTTCATGCAAAGTCTTCTCCTTACTAGTGCAGAGTGTGATAGGTTTGTGGGGGTGGGGTGGAGTTGGGGGTTGGAGAGGTTTATTATTTTATTTTTTTCAATCAGTGTGTCATTTATATATTTTCATAGAAATTAGTGTTAATACCATTGGGAAGGCTTATTAATTGTAATAATTGATAACATGGAAAATATTGCACTCTTTAAGTTCTATCGCTCTAGGATAGTACGCATGTGGTTTTATAAGTGCGTGTGCACTGGAGTATTTACATAACAATCTACGATGTTTTGCAGAGAAAATATTTTAAAAAATTATTTTCAAAATTGATATTGGAGCAATGAAATGAAGGATCGCCATTTCTACAGAGTACTAGTAGTTGGAGATAACAATACGTAAATTATCACATTTATTAATAAGTACATATATGGACATAAAATGGCACCCGCTTAATCAACGGAGAAATGGTGGCCATTTTTTTTCTTTTCTGATATATTGAGATTTTCCGAGTTCTTTGTACAAGGATAGAAATATAATAGATAAGTAAACAAGCCTTAATTTGAAAATAAGCTGAATTTTAGAAAATAGCATACTTACCTATAGGTCCCCCGTTTACAAAGTGCGAGTAACTTCTCTGCTCATATAGATAACGCAGAGCTGGTCAATCGCGTTCTTCAACGTTAAGATGAAAGGTGCGGATTTAAAACCTAAGGCATCTAAATTGTTTGTGTAGGGCACGGATCCAGACCTGCCTTTTAAAGGGCAAGTATGTAGGGCCATGGCCCTCTTTGCCCTTCTTCCACCAAATACTTTATAATCTAAATGTTCTTTTAAATACTTGACAAATTTGTATTTTCAAGTACATACAGTACAGTTAGGCAAATTAAAAGAATTTAATACTGTGATAATATATGTAAATATTCTCTTACAAATTCAATAAACAACATATTTGAGATATAAAAAAAAAAAAAAAATTAAACTTGAAGATACTTTTATGCTTAATTTCGTGCGTGTTCTAATACTGTCTGGTATATAAAGAAAACGATTAAAGATGTAGATACTTTTGTGTTTTATTGAATATTTAAAAGAAGAGTTTTCGTGCGTGATCCAATTATGTTCTGTGCCACGCATGTATAATTCCCTGACGTCGTTGTGTCCACATTTGTTAAATGTAGAATACTTTTTCTTGAAACAGTGACGCCATTTTTAATCCATTTAACATATGGTGTGGGATTTCCGGTTACCGGACACCTGAGGTCTACGTCATCTCCGGTTTTTGCTACAGTATTCAGAAGTTGTCCTATTTTTGGTTCCTCTTTTTTGAAAAAAAGAGAAAAAGAAATATAGAATGTATATATGATAGAAACGTGAACAAAAATAAATACAAAGTCTCTAAAAATTTATCAATTCACTAATAAGAACAGTTTTATTATAAAAATTACATTACTCACTAACAATTAAAACTTTTTGATTAGAGGATGGCACTTAAACATTTTGTGACATGTATAAAAATGTTGTTTTTTTTGGCTAGAATTTTCAATTTGTAAAGATTATATCGCATTCAATATTCAAAATTCCTAAATTAAATATGACAAATTCTACCAGAGGGCGCGCTACAGAGACCTAAATTACATATACATGTAACATTTTAGGAAATTGAAGCCAGGCCCCTTGGTCATGAAACAAACTTAGACTTAAGTCAAAATACCAATCATATGTTTATTCGTTTGTTTGCTGTTTAACGTCCCTTCGAGAATTTTCCACTTATATTGAGAGGCCACCATTTGCCGGTGAGGGCTGCAAAGTTATACCTGTACTCGGCACTTAAGGCCTTTGAGCAGTACTTGAGGGATCCTTTTTTCGTGCCAGCACCTACTGCGACACGCGGGGCCTCGGTTTATACGGTCTCATCAGGCCTGTAGTAAGCAATTTCAGTTTAGGGAGGCACAGCTATACATTTTCAATTGAGGAGGCACTATCAACTACCAAAATTTCAAAAAAAAAAAAAAAAAAAAAAAAAAAAAACCAGACGTTTTTATTGAGGGGGCACTATCACATAATACCTATGTTTTCTATAGTAAACTATATATCGGCAAAATTATTTTCTATAGTGAACTATATATCGGCAAAACTATTGGGGGGGGGCACGCCCCCCCCCCCCCTCCCCCGGTTCCTACGGCCATGCTCATCCAATTAAAGGACCGGTTTCCACGTCTAGCAGTGGGAAATGAACCAGCGACGTAAGGATCAACTCCTTACTCCGCGACTCTAAAGCAAACGCTTTAACCACAGCGCCACACGGGCGACTTAATCATATGTAACTTGTTCATCATTTGTGATCTGAAATTCAGATAACAGCCGTTTGAGGATGCGATGTTGAATAACATATTTATTTTTCACTGTTTCATGTCAAAAGCATTTCATCGCCATAAACAGCTTTTGACTTTAGCTTAAGATGTTTCATGATCCTTAGTCTAGAAGACCTGAAAACAGAATATGTTAAAAAATTTCAGTGTTCAAGATCTAACACTTTCCCTGCTTATTGATACTTTTCCTCTCCTATACCTAAGCATGCGCACTGGCTGGTTACTGATGTTGGAACAGTCAGAGGTTTGGCCGAAGGACCCGGATCCCCCTTTTCTCCCTTTGGACCTAAGTTGCATCAAAGAAAGTGAAGAAAGTTAATCAATTATTTAAGAGTTGTATATTCGTCAATGGCCATCTAAGATCCGTCGTAAGAAAAATCAAAAGACTTGTTGAATAAGATAAAGGACCACAAATGTTTTATAACAAATTGTTTAAACTGTGCAGTGCATATATGAAGGACAGCATCAATAAATGTGGGAAATCACCAAAATGTTTTATAACACGGTGTTTAACATGTGCAGTGTTAAATGTAAACTAGAATAATTTACCTCTCATACACAGCCGACTGTCGTTTGCACAATGTGATTCCAGAATGTGAGCCTACCAAAGAGGAAACATACTAGTAACATACCACACAAAGAGGAAACATACTAGTCACGTACCAGACAAAGAGGAAAAGTACTAGTCACGTACCAGACAAAGAGGAAAATACTAGTCACGTACCAGACAAAGAAGAAAGGGACAAATTACGTAGCAGACAAAGAGGAAAGGTACTAGACACGTACTGAACAAAGAGAAAAAGTACTAGCCTCGTGTCGTCCGCGTGGCTCAGTGGTTAGAGCGCTTGCTCTAGATTCGCGAAATAAGAAGTTGATCCTTACGTCGCAGGTTCGAATTTCGAATCCCACTGTGAGACGTGTAGACCGGTCTTTCGGATGAGACCGTATAAACCAAGGTCCCGTGTTGCAGTAAGTGCTGGCACGAAAAATGCTCACTGCTCAATGGCCCTAAGTGCGGGTATATGTCTAAAATTTGCAGTCTCCACCGGCAAGTGGTAGCATCTTAATATGAGTGAAATATTCTCGAAAGGAACGTTAAACAAAGAAACAAACAAACAAAAACTAGCCTCGTACCAGACTAAGACGAAAAGAAATAGACACGTACTAGATAAAGAGGAAAAACAGAAGTCACGTACTAGAGAAAGAGAACTAGGACAAATCACGAACCAGAGAAAGAGGATAAGGATTCATCACGTACCAGACATAGGGGAAAAGGACTAGACATGTACGAGACAAGAGGAAAAAGACAAATCAGGTACGAGACAAAAAAGGAAAAGTAGTAGTCACGTACCAGACACGGGAAAAGGACAAACACATACCAGACAGAGAGGAAAATAGTAGTCATGTAGCAGACAAAGTGGAAAAGGATTTATTACGTACCAGATACAAAGGAAAAGTACTAGCCTCATACCAGACTAAGAGAAAAAGTGGTAGTCACGAATCAAACAAAGAGGAAAAGTAGTAGTTACGTATCAGACAGTGGAAAAAGACAAATCACATAACAGACAAAGTGGAAAAGTAGTAATCACGTACCAGAAAAAGAGGAAAAGGATTTATCACAACCAGACAAAGTAAAAAAGGACTAATTACATGTTGAACAAAGTGGAAAAGGACTAATTACATGTAAAGTGGAAAAGGAATAAAACATAATAAACAAAGTGGAAAAAGACTAGTCACGTACCAAATAAAATGGTTTTTTTTTTTTACAGAGATTGATCTCTGTTTATACATAAAACATCTAAACTACGGATACTTTAAAGGTCATAATAAAAACTTTACTGAAAAACTATGTTAGAAAGACATGGCTAGCTGTGGTCATAAAAATGAAGAAATGTGAGTAAATTTAGCTTCAATAAAACGCTCGAATGCATTAAATTGACCATCTTGCACCCGACTCAGTTTGTAAGTATATTATATACTTTTAAAAGGGTTTGCCTGTCTGACAGTCTACATGACTCTCTCCGTCTTTACCGAATGTCCAAATTAAACAAAATTTCAATGAAAATTCTCGATTACATATTTCATGGCACACGCCGTAAAAAAAACATACAACTAAAGCTTTTTTTGTTCATTTCGTTCTTTAAGCACAAAGGCATGTCATATCATAACATAAACAACAAAAGATACCATAAATATACTCAAAATAAAGATCTTGCGGTCTTTAAGTTTGCAATACTTTCGTTTCCACACGAGTTAGCGGTTTGACAGAAATTAACCATTAAAGTATCCTACATCTTATAAAGTGTCTACATGTCTGGCCATTGGAAATACTTGGATTTGAATTTGAGGAGTACTCCACAAAGATATACCTGGGCAAGCAACAGCTCTTGTACAAATGAACTGGCAGTCTGTCGTTTCTGTACGCTTTCTTTACTGGTCCTCGTTTGACTTTGCTGGTCTTCCTGGGACTTTTGATCAAACTCGTCCTTGAACTGGGATAAAAATGATATCAACTAAAAAGATTATCAAAGTGAAGACACAAATTAAAGTCGCAAAAATTAAAACGTTCATTCGAACTAATTTCTGCACAGCAGTGTTTTAAATGATGGGTAAGTTTAGATTTTAATTAAGATGTTTATAGTAAAAATGAAAGGTTTACTCTTTTTTTTTATTCTCTCCACTAAAAGAAAATTATTCCTGAAATTGCAAGCAGATCGTATTAAAATGGAACACCTGTACGCAAGATATTTGACATATATGAAAGAAGAGATAATTCCACTTTGAAAAACATTCTCATTTTTGAGATATCTTTAATTCAAGAACTTAAACAATTTTACGATTGGGAACTATTTCTAAATACACCCTCTCCATTCACTTGAAAGCTTTTTTTAGTTAAAGTTATACAAACATTGTGTTTCTCTCTTTTTTCATTGCATTAATTTAGTTCTGAAATATTTTACAACTGCAAAATCAACATTTTTTCTCAATAGCTCTGGGCAAGAAAAGAAAAATGCAGTATTACTTAAGTACATCTTAAATACTTAAATTACTTTAGTTACTTAAATTAATTGTTGATCATTCATGTATGTATTTGTAAGTAGGGCACCGATGATAAGATTTGTTAAAGAAGATAAACCTTAATCATACTCACCTTCAAATCAAGGTCTCGTAAGTGTTTTAATTCATTGAGTTCATTTTGAACCCCCACAAGTTGTATGTATATTACACAGACACTTGCAATAACCCCTAGCAACAGAACGACAAGTAGTGACGTCACTAGATCACGCCCTCTATCGGTGGAGGGGTGCTGGTCAGATTTCATTTTCCTTATTTTTATTGTGCCTATATTCCTTTATTATTAGCATGTACAACAAATTTATCGTTACATTTCTTACAATGACCTATATTGATATGCACAGAGGGCTATTCAAATCTAAATGTATCATGATTTCATGTGGTTAATGAAGAATCACTTTCGCATTCAAATACAAAATTGGAATCACATGTAAGAAAATGACCCTTAATCAAATTAAATATTTTCAGTTTGTTTTATAATCTGGAATACGATGATCTTTCTCACATAAAGAGATCACGTGATCTGATACAAACAAACCATTTTTGAAAATTACCATTCAAGTATAGAAGCCAAATCATCATGAGGACATAAGTACGGAGTTTTAATTTATACTCATAATTTTTGATAAATTGAGAATCTAGAATATTTATCATTCCTTTAATAACGACATTCTCTATTTTCTGTAAGAGCTTTTATTATCGTCTTAAAATGCTCCATAATATTCGTGACGAGATAAGAAATCTAACTATTGACACACTGTTGATCACCAAGGCTAAACATTCTGACCGGATTTCAGAAACGTGACGGTGAGTATTTTGTATTTTATGCATTATGTAAATATATTTATTCCCCAAAATGACTTAAAATTGCAATAGATTATTAACCATATAAACATTTAGAAGCACAATAGCATACAGAATAACTTAGGCCAATATTTGGATGTCTAAACATGCAGTGCATTTACTACTCCATAAAGGTAAAGCTAATTTTGTTTTAATGGTCAACAGAACGGAGAGAAATTCAGAAATATGGCGAGCTTTCTGTGGTGTTTTTCCCTTTTGAAGTAATGTTTTCAAAAATTCGGAAAGAGAGCTCTACACAATGTACAGGATATCAAGATTTTTAGAAGACTACATATAGTAGAGCTCAGTACTATACCTACCGGTCTCCGTACAACATTAAATTAAAGTGCTCTGCTATAGTGAATTGTTAAATTGATGCAAATGATTGACGTAAGCGCATTAAAGTTTTGGAAATGCATCCATAGATAAGATTATTTTGTTAGGACAATCCCAAACATTGATATCAATAACTGAATTCCTACAGAATTCAGTTAATTTCTACAACGCTTGCGATACATGTTTATAATTTCTACCGGTAAATTTGTTTTGAAAAAAGTACATCTAGAGTGCATTTAAAGAACGATACAATTAAAAATTATCATTCATTTTGTTTTGGGAAGTTTCAAAAGTATAATAAGATATTTTTTTTCACATGGTGTTGTGGATGTATCACGATTTCATCATTGTATTAGTTTTAATCAGATTTTTATGGAGTTAAGAGTACAGTATTTGAAACAGATGACAAGATTTATAATTTGAATATAAATATACAGTTGTAAAATGACCTCGACTTCCTTTGAATATGATGGATTTTTTTTTTTTTTATCTTTTATCACCAACCTTGATATAAATATGCTAACACAAGGTAAAATACAATTTAACTTCGTGTTTTCCATTCATGTTCCTCAGTTGCCATGATATTCATGACAGTATGCACAGTCATGCGAATACTTTTTTAAAATTGTTTTAAAAATTGAATTGTTTCAAGTAAAAAATTTGAAAGTTTTGGCTAATATTGAAAAAACTATCAAGTAGCAATGTTTATTTCTCCCTTTTAAAAAATCGATTGCAAAGTCATGTACCGTTTTGGAAATAAGATGAAAGTACTATTACATTTAGCAATATTTACTGAAAACAATTGAAATAATTTCCTTAAAAATCAAAACTCATATATCAAATATCGATATTAAATTTGGAAATCTGTTTGATTCTGTTTTGATTAAAAACTTCAACATTTGGGGAAAAAGGTATATCGTGTATTAATGTTTTATGATTTGTACAATTGAAGATTACATTCTATTTTTATAGAGACAGAATGCTCCACATTTTAATTTTTCTCAGCATTCTTGAAGGAGGTAAGTACATGTAAGTATATATATCTTGCAAAACATTTACACTCTTTTGCTTTGATTTTAAACTTTCTGAAATTATAAGTAAGGAAGAAAAATGAAAAATAAAGAAATATTTGTTTTTTTGGGGGGGTTTGATGTAAACAAAGGAGTAAATCTAAATAGGAAAAATATCATATCATTTGATTAATATTTACAAATGGCACAATATAATTATCCAAATGAACAACTCAAGGAAATATACAACCAAGAATAATACAATATACATGTAGGTCAAGGGAAACATACATTGCAGATAAAGCGCTGTAAAAATTTAGTACAATTCCTGTAAATTAAAAATCAGTCCAATAAATTAATTACCTTTAAAAGCATTTGTCCAATAAATTAGGAGATCTGTATTTACATTTTGTTTTACAGTGATGTACGCTTAAGCATTATTTACTTTAGTTGTATAGTATAGTTTATTCTTACAGCCTTGTCACTGGGCCCTCGGTGTCTGAGCTGTAGCGGAGTACCCATCCTAACAGATTGTAACAATATTGTGGAGTGTGGAAATGGAGAGGTGAATATCTGGGGGTGGATCTGATCGGAGAGAGATCCAGAGAGATCGAGAGAGATCGAGAGATCATTGCAAAAATGTGCATATATGTTTGCCAAAATCTTAAATTTCAGCTTAAATTGACAAAATCAAATTTAATTCATGATTATATCAGTATTCAAAATCAAAATCACCTTCAAAATGGCTGGCAATTGATATTTAATCATGTTATCAAATTGAAAGCAGCCAAATGAACAGCTACAACGAAAATGGTACGACTTTCATTTTGTTAACTTTCATTACAGACTGCATTTCCAGGAAGAGGTTGATATTTTTTTTCTTTTTAAGGGATGCTATACACGGAAAGTTACTACAGACGTTGGGACTATTGTGTACGAAGCGGGTTGCATCAGTATGCAAGTAGGTAAATAAGGATATCATATACAGTAAAACATGCTTATAGCGAACACACTTATAACGAATTGACGCTTTTCATTTCCCATGACTTTAAAATATATTGTTAACTTATTGGATGTAACGAATTACGCTTATAACGGAGCAAAATCGTCCGTTCCTGGTACTTCGTTATAAGCGTGCTTTACTGTATTCTTTTTAAATAAAGTGATCGAGAACTGTAATATTCAGATGTCAGACAGATGTCTACGTAATGACCAAGAATATAAGACCTAATAAACTAAAGAAGTAATGTACGAGTTCGATTTACTCGAAACACCATTGAACGAAGAAACTTTAATCATAAGGGAAAAAATGAAATGGTACTTCCGTTTCGGAAGTTAATGAAATTCTTGTGCATAGAAAGAAAACTTTTTTTCACATGTAGCTATATAAATGATTGTATCACAAAGTAAATGCATTAGGCAAGCTCATTCGTACTTAACATGTAATGGTAAATTTATATGGACTGTAAATTCATAGTAAACAAAGTTGTCCGTCGCGTCATGTGTGCTAAAATGGTAACATTTACATGGTGCATCACATGGAATCATTTGAGATTGGCTGAAGTCAATCCAAAAATGGGGTCTCTAAATAAATGCTTTCTTAAATTCTGGTGACGGATTAATAATTACATGGAATGTGGAATGATTCTTATGAAATAGTGGACAAATCGTACGTGTATTAGCTTTTTTTTCTGTATGGTATTGTCGAGTTTCTTTTCGTTTATATTCAAATGGACTGGTACAAATGTAGGTCTATTTGAAAGCTAGCTATTAGTTTCCGGGGGGATTTTGAAACGTCCGCCAATCTTTTGGTTATGAGCAGAAATATTTCCTCTAAAGAAAATATTCCGATTTAGTCATCATTACCGAGCATTAATCAAACGAGGATAAAACTAAATAACAAAGCATCCTTTTTAAATTGTGATAAAAAATTACATGATTTTCTTGCATACCGGTATTGAACAACGCGTTTCTGACGAAGAAAAAATATTTCTTAATTTTGTTTTCTCCTCACACAATTTTTGACCTGATTCAAAGTGTTTTTTATGCAATGTCAGCATGATAAAGAAAGAAAGATGTGTTCAAAATAACTGCCACCAGTGAGAAAGATTGAATACCTGACCTAATGCTTTTACATTTTTCCTTATTTTAAGGTCTGTAATATTCTGAACATTCTTGGAAAAAATTCCGGATTGGGAAAAAGAGACATTACAAATTGTTACGAATGCTGTTCTGGCGGAAACCAAACCGATGCCGGAAGTACTCCATGTAATACACACCTGTGTGGAATAGGTAAGAACATTCTACATGTATAATGTTGATAAAAAGCTTATAGTCACAAGACTGTTACAGTACGTGGAACTTAAGCAAAGAAATTATACCAAGAGTAATCCAATATATAAAAAACTATGTATTTTGTTATACATATGTAGTTTATAAATATAGATCTTATAGTATTTATAAACGCATAAGAGTGAGTTGCACCTTCTTGTAAATTCATATTGGTATATATTCAGGTCTTCATTTAAAAACCGAATTTTTACCATCTCTCTTGCCACCTGAGATATGTGTGAGATTTCTGAGATTTCTCTGAGTTATCTCCGAGATATATTTTATGTGTTCCAGGGATATTGATCAGTCACATCTGTGAGGAACAGAGTGTTGTAAAAGCTGCTTTGGCCTGTAACATGAAACTGAAATCAAAATTGGAAATCTGGAAAGGACAATAACTGATAGTTAAATGTACATAAAAACAAACCAGCCAATCCCTGTCAAAATCAGAATTGATTTGATATGCATGTACACGTTTATCAGAGATTGGAAGGAGATGATGAACTAAGGGGATTTTAAAATCTCATTTTTGATGAAAAATCATGACATGTTTTGGTGATCAGATATCAGTTGTGACCGGTCGACAGGAGATACTTACTCCTCCTGAGTACCTGATCCCAATTCTGGAATTTCGGCCCTGTTCACATATTTGCATTCTTTATAGTTTTTTAAAGATGGTTCGCTATTTCTTATCTTCACCTTTTTCATTGCATCTTCTTTGATACCAAACTCAATCAGAAGATATCCTAAGCTTCACATATCTCTAGATCATTGTTGCTTTGTTATATCGTTATTACATTTTTCATTCTACAAACACTACATACAAAATGCCAACGAATCAAACCAGTAAAGTAAAAATTCAACAATTTTCATATCAGTTCATCTATGATTTTGGTCAAACGTCAAAAAGATTGGCCAACTTACATCAAATTGAATTATAATGTAGAATTTCCGGTGTGACGGAACCCTAACAGAAATATACTTTATTAAACTATAATTTACTTTAATAGTTAACTGTGGTTTCAAATTAATAGTTAACTGTGGTTTCAAAGTTTTTACTTTAGTAAATTAAAGTATTTGAAAATTGAATTTTAAATTGATATTTCATTTTTGCCAAATATTGAATGGGATTTGATTTCAAAAGGAAATACTTCTTATATATTTACATATTTCATATATTTCGAAAGCTTATGTAATTAAAATGGAATTATATAAATATAAAGGCTCTAACTCCCTCAAAAAAGTTCTAGAGTTGAGTTCCCATAGTAAGTCAAATAAAGCATTAATTTTACTATAATAAATCAAAATAAACTATAGTAAATTTTTGTTTAGGATGTGCCAGATATTAAAACGAACGATTGCTTTTTCAATTAAAGATGGCGTCCCGTGTAGAGTTGTACTCCTTCAAACACCTCTGAGGTGGACTAACGTCAAGGTGTTTCCCGTAAAATTAAAAAAAGAGGAGAATCAAGGATCTTTTGAAAATAAAGTAAAAGTTCTGAAAGAATACGAGCCTTGAATAACAATTGACCAAGCACATATTTATCGGGTTGATATTAGTGATACAATGGCAAAGGTGTAAGTCGATGAAAGAGAGTGATAGAAAGTCATTTTGTTGAAATCACTTGCTAGTTAGGATGAACAAAGCAGTCATTAACTGAAGTTGGGCCAATATATGTTTGGTGTTTGGCACTCATACAACATTGTTCGGCTTCGGGCAACATTCCTGTCATTTCCAATTGTTTCACTCATGCAATGGACTTTTTTTTTTCAAGCAAAGCTGTTGTACGTGTAAAAAAATTAAAACTTTTCAATGATCAAAAATTTACAATAGTGATGTTTTTGTTTCGAAAGCAATTTACATTTACTTTTTAATGATAAAAATTATGAATGTATTTCACAATTATTACTTTTTTTTCCTGTGTTGTAGTAATGGACGAATTGCTCTGTGCACATGTACCAAGCCCCAAAACAAGTTTAAGAAGACACCAGCATTTGAAATTTTACTTTCATTTTAGGTGATCGACCGGAAGAAAAATGTTACCAGTGTGCAGATGTTCTAGATCCTTTAGATTGCAGAACTACTGGGTACTGCAACCTGGACGAGGTAATTTGTGATATATTCGAATTTGAGCAAGGTTCACTTAGAACCTTTTTTTGGCTGTGTGTATTTCTTAAAAAAACAAAATCTGTTCCAGTTTTTGTTGACAATATATTAAATATCGCTTGGATTCCTTGTGACGGCAAATATATTGAAAATGAGGTTATTATTTCACTAATCAATGTATTTCGTGAACATGGATTTCCTCAGTATTCCCAAATCTTGAAAAATTTCTTAAAAATGGTCAAAATTTTAATCTATTGTTCAACATTTTGCATAGAGCCCAACACCTGATCCAAAATGTGCTATTATTTAATGAAAGAACTGTTTCTGAAAATTACAAAATCTGTTTTATATTTTGGATCGAGGAGTTGGCTTATACTTTAATTCTTTGCAGATGGTACTCAAATACAGCTGATTGACTTTTATTGATTATAGTTTTAATATCTTTAATTAACACAACTCATATTTCCAGCTTTCTTTGAATATTAAAGATATATTCTTTAATAAACATATCATTACACTAAGTATTATTTCTAAGATATTTAATACTTGAAAGTGCAAGGTTGCATGACAATCAAATACTCCCTAAATTCTATGTTCATAATTTTCCAAAAAAAGCTTTATACAGGTTTTTCTAATATATTGACCTGAGACGTTTTTGCCATATATAATTCATGAATGAAAATTTTGAAGATTATTTCATTTCACAAAGATTACTGAACTTATGGTGATATATTAATTTGGAAATTAGCTGACATTAATTTTTGAACATTTGGTAATTTTTCATTTGACAAGATATTAACGTACGATATTTTTACAGAGTTTATTCAAACATATAAAACACCCGGCAACCTTTTTATGTTTTCCCCGCTTTCTTGAATTACCTCGGTTTGCTCAATTTCATGTAACTGAGTTTTCTGCATATATTACTTGAAGTATAGTTTTTACCTAAGCAATGCAATGTTTAACAGATTTATTGTAGAGGTTGTATAGATTTTTCTATACTTCTAGTTATCTTATGACCTTGTAATATTTTTCTTAAGGGATTACTCAGACATTTTCTTGCAATAGTAAGCACAGTAATAAATTGCTTCTTAAAGTCTACTAAATAATCGCCAAAAGGTCTGAAAAGTCGCTGAATGTCAGAGCTCTTCCATACAGTCACCTCTCAGTATACTTTCAGCCACCTTTAGTGTAGTTAATTACTGAATGGGAACAGCGGTAGTTACAATCTGTGAAATGTATTTGATCTTCTCTTTGCCAGCAATGTTTTACAGAGAAGAAGACTGATCACGCAACAGGAGAGGTTCGATTTCACCTGGGATGTCAGAATAACAGGGTAAGAACCCCAGTCATAACCCTAACCCTTAAAACTACCCCCTAACCCTACCCCCTTACTCTAGGTTTATTTTTCCGTATTTTATACATGTTACAGACCCTGAAACGTGCTACTACCCCAAAAAAGCGTGTGACTTTCGTGCGCTTTTCGTGTGAGCTCCAAAGCGTTTCGTGCAAACCGTGTAGCGAGCGTGCGAGAAGCGTGTGAGAAACGTGCGACTTTCTTGTGAGAACCGTGTGAGAAATGTGTAGGATTCATTCGGAACTCTTTTTATTTTAAATATGGCTATTGATGGATCAACATGTCATTCTGTGTTGTTTGTAACTAATATTATTCGAATATATTATACCGATGGTATTTTAAGAGAAAAAAACTACGGAAACAACAAAATAAAATTACTCGGTAATGTATTACATATTTGTTTGATTTTTATTCTTTTTTTATTTAAATAAAGAAGGAAAGAGAATATGTTCAAAGTAATTAATTATACGCACATCAATTTTAAGGTATTTGATTCAATACATTTTTTTAAAGGGAGCAATACTGAACATCGTTTTAAAAAAAATCATCAATAATCCGGTCTTGTCCTTTTCATTCATTTATTTGAATCTCTTCACCATTTTACAGTTGTGGTATAGAGATATTACAAAAACATATGGGTGATTAATGCAAAATAGTAGATAGATAAGGCAGGCGTGAAATATAAAATACTAAGTTTATTGCGTTGCTATAAATGTTAAGTATGGGAATTCTAGGCCGGGGAGCACAATTATTTTTTTTCTTTCTAAACGAACATAATTTTCTTCTATTACAAGATTGTGATACAAATAATTTTTAAACGATGAGTCACTTATAGTCCTTTTATGCATAAAATTGGTTGATTAATAATTGTCTTATAAATGAATCATAATTCACATGCATCGGCAAATACAAGGTCAAATATTTCCAGGGGAGGGGGGGGGGTGTTCAAATGTAAACACAAACTTTGAGTTTTTGTTATTTACATGTTTTTATAGATGATTTTCTTTTTAAAGAAAATATTGTTTTTTTCGGGGTGCGCTTGATGCACCCCTTAAAAATGTATAGGAATCTTCTTTACACTTCCGACCCTCTTCTTACGACTGTGATCAAGGTCGTTTACAACAGCGATCACGTGCTCCACGTGCCGGGAACTGAAAACTTGTTCTGCTACATGTACATGTATTATCTTTTGTCAATCATGGCTAAGATGACACCCGACAATTACGATTGATTTTTAATTCGTGAAATCTAATATTTGTATTAGTATTTAATGGGTAAAAATAAATACCCGTGGATTTTATTTCTTAAATTTATCGAATTCTCTGTAAACAGTGAATTGATTTGCCAGTGTATTCGTGAATAATAAATATAAAGAAAAAAATCCGGAGTAATTATATATTAGTTGTTTTATTAATCACGCAGTTCTAGAGCATTTTTTTTTTGTTTTTAGGACACTGGACATGTATTCATGTATATTGAATGTATTGTTAAGAGCCACGACTATTGATTACATTTTTTTTTTGCCTAGACGGAATCTGAAATCAAGGATTTTACAAGGTGGTGGGTATATTGTTTTTATTTGATAAACACAATGCCTCAAAATGGAGAACTAAAGCATTACAATACCTATTCCCCCGGCTTCTCTACCATATTAAATTTTAATGCTAAGTCAAAGTTTGATTCTGTAATGAAGCGATATATTTACCATTCTAATTAAATTGCAGTTAATGAATTACACGTATCTGCTCCCGCTGGAGATATGGATATCCTTTTTTTCTTAGAACGGGCATTTGTTTCTGTAAATTTTTTTTCCCAGTGGTATACTTACTGAAACAAGTTCCAGTTATATTCAGCCATGAACAGAAGTAAGATCTCGGTAATCTACCCCCCCCCCCCATCCTGCACAATGTTCTTATTTGATTTAGTGTACATATTACCTTTGCAAATTATAAACAGGAACTAATTCAATCACATGAAAGTATTTATTTACTAAATCAAAAAAAAAAAAATGAATAAATCAATCAATAATTAAAAAAAAAAGAAAAAAAGAAAAGGAAAGAAAATCAATCCGATTACAGAAATCATACACAATTTAATCAATTTTTTTTCTTCAAATCAATAACTGGATTTATTTGTCAGTAATAAAACGATTTGTTATCAAACTATAATTGTAAAAACATTGAATGCTGTAAAGATTATGAATTACAAATATAATTATTTTTTTTCAGTGCGTACATGTAATTTGGAGTCTAGTGAAAAAGTTTTGTACATAGACGATGATACATGTAGGCATTTCACCGAGCGCGTCACATTCTCAATAACAACTTTATTATTAATTAAAAACAACTTAACATTGTGCATTTTTATCTGTTAATATCGTACTGGTGTAGCGAGGTCTAATCCTAACTTAATCTGAATGATTGCAATTCTTAAATCATCTTTGATTAATCCGTAATTTACTTGATTTAAATAAAGTCCGAGAGATTCCGAATAGAAAATCCAGATCGAGGCCAAAACATGTACAAAGCGTGTGAGAAACGTGTACAAAGCGTTTCGTGCAGGCTTTCGTGTAAACCGTGCAGCCTTTCGTGCAAAGCGTTTCGTGTAAACCGTGTAGCGTTTCCTGCAAACCGTGTAGCGAGCGTGTACCGTTCGTGCAGCGAGCGTGTGGGGAAGTAGCACGTTTCAGGGTCTGTCTTTTAAAGACATCTTTCTCTGGGCACCTATATTTTTGATGTCTGAACTTGACTTTTGAAATTGACTTTCTAATGAAAAACCTTAACATTGGTTATTATCTGAGGGCTGGTGCCAGGGCTTTCATATTACATATCCTTTCAACGGCAATAACGTAATAAATCCTGTATAAATATGTGGCCAAGGGTGATGTCCTGAAGGACAGCCTCAACGTAATAAAACGGATATAAAATTTCAGGTTCATATACCCAAGGATCTTTACCGAAGAACTGCCAGATTTTGCACTAAGTCTTAATATTCAATAACGTCTTATGATTTTTAGAAAACATAATTTGAAAAATGAAATTGACATCGACGTCATCTTTATAACAAGAAGTGCAGACACAAACGTGGTTTAACTTTCTTTATAAAATAGATTAAAAATTGCATAATTGACATTTTGCAAATATTTAGAAAAACTGTATATTACATAATCCACAAGACATTAATAATTACAAGTATTTTTATCTTGTTTTACATCTCAGTTTGTCTTGTGCCACACTAAGCTACACTAAAAAAATTCAATCTACCCAAGCATACTGTTATATATATATATATATGTATTATGTAACAAAATATATATCTAGAGAAAATTACGCAAGAAAACAGTTCCGTTTTGCTTACAACAACGATAAATGTGCGTTTTAATACGTTACAGTTTTTACAACTTTTCATAAGCTAATACTGAAACGTAATATAATCAACAGAGGACGTGATTGAAACGTCACAATACGTTACAACTGTTTTCATGACTTCACATATCTACATCGAAGCGTACTAGAACGTAACCATTAGGAACATCTATCGACTCTAGAACAACTGTTCCACGTTTACGTTTAAATGTATGATAAGTTTATGTGAAATATATCATGAAACCAAAAAAAAAAAAAAAAAAAAAAAAAAAAAAAAACTCGTTATAACGCTATGGTTAAATATATATATATATATATATATATATATATATATATATATATATATATATATATATATATATATATATATATATATATATATATCCGTTTTATTACGTTGCTGTTGTCCTCGAGAAAAACACTCTTGACTATATGAACACGGAATTTTATATAGGTTTTATTACCTTACGGCCGTGCGGCTCCAGAAGTGCCAGGACGTTGAAAGGATATGTGTATTTCTTGTGACAAGGTTTTTTTCTTGGCAACATTATTTTGGACCTTATGAGCTTGACCGTCGAGTTTTACCTACTTTTAAAGAAAACATTCACCTTCACCATGAGTTGTCATACGGGGTCATCAGTGTTTCATAAACACTTCTTGTTTTGTCTGCTTGTACAATATAGGAATAGGAACATTTTCAGTTGGATTTTTTGTTGGCTTTTCTTTAGTTTTTTCCCAAGTAATTGTGCTCACATTATTTAGTTACTTAATTTGTTTTTATTCTGTAGTTATTTTCCAGTATGCCTTAACTTAGGTTTCTACCTTTCTCTATCGAACAAAAACAAAACACGATTAGCTCTCTGACCCTCGAAACCAAATTCTTGAATCTGTAAGCATTCTAACATTTGTTTTTTTTTTCTGTTTGCTTTTATATAGACCAAAAAATCTGTTTTCTTTTGCTACTTTTAAGGTATGCTCTTCACTAAGTCTCTACCCCTCTCTACCACACTCCGGCAGCTGTAACGAGTGCTGTGATCATGATTACTGCAATATAGGACTTTGTGGTCTGGCTTTATTGGGTAAACAATTGTATTTTACTTTAAAAAATTACCACAACATCATCTCAGGTTGGCTACTCATAATGGATTGAACTTTTTTATTTCCAGTAATCTTCCGTGATTTCAGATGCTCATGACCTAGAATTAAACAGCTAATATGATTTTAGAATGAATAAACAATATAATTCACAAAATAATTTTGAAAACTTTACAGTAAAAAAATCTAGTGTGCAAATTAAAGGTGATAATAGATGCTCAAGTTATAAAGATCAAATAAGGAAGCGTTAAAAAAAGATGATATATTATTTGAATAAATTTCCATTCTTATTCAGGCCTCAATTGCAATATCATAACCCCAAAAACAGACTTGAATTTGAATATCTTAAGTTCTATTTTACATATGTGCATACAAATTGGCAGGATGGTGTAATACACAAATTCATATACATATGGAAAATTTTGTTTCATTATCAAAATTATTTCAAGAATCATGTTGATTTGAAATCGTGACTTAAGGTATGTCACTCGTCAGCTTTTTAGAAAAGTTTTGTAGAAATCCTTAACTTCAAAACTATTTATTACAATTCATTTTTTATAACATATTTAAATTAAACAATGCAAATTATTCAACATTCAATTAAAAAAGACTGCTCACAAATTCATAAAGAAGGAAGATTTATGAGGGGCTATTTCTTGTGGTGGAAAGATATGTACAAGAGAATTACTCAAATCTACACAAATCTTGTTAAATTTAATATCTTGGACCTTTAGCCCCACATATTTTACTCAGAGAATATTTTCTGTTATGATATTCTAGGAATATAAAAGATAAGTATCAATTGATATTTGTAGAAAAAAATTACACATTCACTCAACAGACCTTGCTAAGAAATAAAGATATACTTAAAAAGTCAAGATAAAATTAACACCGTTTTTTGCCTGAAAATCGCACATTCTGACCAATATCCCAAAATCAACATCACTGACCCAAACTTTTTCTTTCATTATTTGAAACAATACGATACTTCCAACCGAACAGCACTCAAGTCATAAAAAATCTGATAAAAATATTTTATTGATTTTATACCCCAAATATGATATTTTCTTAGTGCAAAAAGGTCACACAATAATTTATGCGCAATAATCTGCATGATTTGTTCAATGATAAATATCATTCAGCTATTTTACGAAAAATAAGATTATATTTATTGCCATAATTACATCTGATAAAATATGATTAAGATTAAAGTAATTAACCAATGAGTAACAATTTAAGTGCTAAAAGCTTAAGGTCAACTTAATTGTTCTGTAGTTCAGTAAGATGCACACTGAACCCCCCCCCCCCCCCCCCCCGCGCATTTTCTTTGCGATTTTGAGTCATGCTATATGAGTACTTATCTAAAATATCTAATAATCCCTGATATAACTAATTCTGTGACATACCTTAAGACTGTTCTAAGTTTATGGTCATGGGGCCAAATATGCTTTCGTTCCATAAATGTCCTTGTCAGGATGAAATCATAATTAAAGGTATCTTCCAAGAATGATTGGTAAGTAGCTGATTAAGAATCTCTCGTGGTCATTTTTTGAACTATCTCAGCCTCCTGGCTCTGAAAAAAGTTAGGAAATTGCATTATTCAAATTAGTCAAATTATAATGAAATACACACATGTAAGTCAAAAGATTAGTCAAATATTGTACCTGGAATATGTATATTTTCCTTTATTAAAATAGTAAATAATGAGAGAGAGAGAGAGAGAGAGAGAGAGAGAGAGAGAGAGAGAGAGAGAGAGAGAGAAATCTGCCGTTATGAAAGAGTTCCATGGGAGTGCGTTTTACTGTATTTTTCTTTCTATAGGAAAACCTCACTTTATAACGAAGCCGGATAACTTCACAGTTGATCCGGCCACAAGTGTCACACTTAGATGTGCGGCGGATCCAAAGACAAACGCTACCATTAAATGGTCTTTTGAACCGGTAAGTATCAATCTATATGTTAGGAACATTTTTCGTTTTTATTCCATTCGATTTGTTTAAATGAAGGAGATCAGAACAAGTAAATAGCCTAATTGACTCATTTATCCTGTTGATCTGAACGTGAACTTTAATTTATACAAACCACTTTGGATATGCATTGGATATGAATTTTCAGATAAGCTTATGATGTCCATTTTCAGTATATCCAATTGTAATTAATTTTTAAAAAGCGACACGATAGATACTTTTCTGAAGGCCTGAATTAGCAAGAGCTATTTCCTGTTGACCGCCATATTGGAGGTCAACATGTTCATATTCCTTCAATATTCAACCAACTTTAACTTTTTATACTGGCCATTGTGGGTTAGGAAGCGTTGTTTTTCTGAAAAATATACATTTGATAAAGCGTCCTTTATTTCATAATTTTTATGTTATAAAGATTTTTTCCAAATATTCGTGCTACACCCCCTTAAATTTGGTACGACAAACAGGAAAAATTACCAGGTTGACCACCAAGGTGGCGGCCAAGGGAAATAACTCGGAGAGAAAATACGTCATACGAAAACTATCTATATCAAGCAAGACTTACATGAAGACAATCTTGATTTATTTTATTTGATTATAGTTTTTCTAAAATAAATGAAGTATAATATATAAGATGAGGTCATTTTTCATCTGCAATATGTTCCTTATGAAAATGATGGTGAACTTTAGCCAAATGGGGGTTCAAAGCAAAGATTATACTCATTAAGTCATCGTTTTCCCTTTTGACAAACATGGATTCTATAAACTAGTTGTTAGCAACTAACTGTATGCAAGTATAGACAAAAATAATTAAAACAGTAGAACCTAGTCAACTGGAACCAACGAGGGTCGAGAAAATCTCCGAGTATTTGAAATATTTGGATTAAATAGATAAAGAAAAAATGGTTTGAACTTCAACTAACTTCAAACTAAGAAATGAATTTGAATTATCAAGGTTCTAGATATTGAAGTTCAACTTTATTTCAAATTTCAATCAACTGGATTTTGTAAACACAGTTCATATTGAAGCATTTTTATTTAGTATATCAAATACCGGTCGCGGAAACTTACTGTTGAGGAGCTCGTTTCGTGATCCGGAGGTTCTGCGTTCGATTCTCGTTCCCGGGGCCGCGTCAATCAAAAGACGTTTAACATAGGTAGTAATTGTTTTATTTCCAAACGCTCGGCACTACAGATAAAAATTACGGGTCTTTCGGATGACACATTAGAAAACGAGGTCCTGTTGGCTCTAGACATAGGTCACAATTTATGGCACTTCAACTGAAACAGGTGACATCTCTTCATGAGTAGAAAAAAAAGAAATCACGAATGGCACGTCAAACAGCATATGTTCAATCAATCACCTAGGTTATCGAATGGAAGTTATTGTAAACCTGATACATCCGGTTGATTGTTTATACCATGAATGAATAGGTACTCAGCCACAAGTATCCTCGGGGACTGACTATCCACCACCATGTTCGCCTAGATATTGAAAGTTTAAAACAATCCTCCATCATGTTCATGTTCTTCTTCACCCCACAATTATAGTCCAGCTGGACGCTTCATTACTGGTGAAGTAGATATAGATAATATTGACGTCCTTAAATCAATTATTTTTAAGGAGCCAAAATTTAGGTATCCCACATCTTTCAACTGGCATCGTAATTTCATAAATACACTGCATTATGAATTATGTGGAAGATAACGCCAGGCGATGGGCCAAACATGAAAAAGAAGAGTATTGTGCAATATATTGGAGAAGTGGTGTAAATCAGATGTTTAAAATTCGAAGGAACCTTTATAAAATTTGAAATCACATAATTTCACCAAAATAAATAACATCAAAAGTTACCACTTTTCAACTCTATATACAATCATTCCATACGATAAATTAAAACCAAGGCTTTTGGACATTGACACCTATGACAGCTCATTTTTCAATAAAATTGGAACTCGTAAATTTACTGGCCTTGTCTTTGGTCATTTGCAAAATTATTTTGTTAAAAAACATTCTGATTGTACACAAAAGTCGTCTGACGTTGATATTAAAAAGATGCTGTAGTTACTGATTGACCATATCTAAGTGGTTTTCGGAGACCAGGTCGTCCAACAATCTGTCGGATTTCCCATGTGTACTAATTTCGTCCCGTTATTAGCAGACCTTTTTTTGTATTCATATGAAGCAGAATTTATTCAAAATCTTGTAAATGAGGAAATAAAAAACTTGCTGTGCATTCAACTCGACATTTAGATATAACGACGACATGTTATCAATTAACAATAGTTATTTCCATTCATATATCCCAGTGAGCTTCAAATAAAAGATACTTCAGAGTCTGACGCATCTGTTTCATATTTGGATATTTTACTAGAAAAAGACGTTAATGGTAACCTAACAAGAAAGCTTTATGACACACATGTGATGACTTTTACTTTTTAATCGTCAATTTCCCTTATTTGAGTAGCAATATACCCTAATCACCTGCATACGGGGTTTATATCTCTCACACAAGAGCATACTCTACGTACGAACAATTTCTAAAACGAAGTTATTGATGAACAAGTTGAAAAAAATAAGAATATCAACAGTCTCGCTCAAAGTAATAATTTTGCAAATTCTTTGGTCGATACAATGACCCTGTCAGCAAATACAAGCCTACCATTAAATCAAACGCTGACTGACGTTTTTTCACACCAATTGTTAGGTCATTATTTACACTGAGTTCTCTACACATTTTCTTTTTTCCCGATCAAGACAAGGAGCACAAGGCTAGTGTAATGGGTCGGCAGGGGATGCTCAATCCTCCATTGCTCCTGATCCCACCTCTGATGTTTCAAAGGTCCGAGTTTGCGCTGCTCCTGAATTGTATTGTTTGAATGGACTTTTGAGCTTGAATTCTGTTCGTTATCTCCATATATTTCATCAATTATATGTACCTATATAAATTGACTTTTTATTTAATTTTCGTCTGGCATAACCCGGAAGCGTGCGATGTATCATTATGATTATGTGCCTAGTATATAACGAAACGTTTGTTAGCATATTGATATACTCTATTAGGGAACTTAATTTTGTCTGAATTATTTGGTTTAGCTTGTGAATGGTGTATCAACTTCTCCAAATGGTATTACTCTCAGCAACCAACCCTCCTTGACATTGTCAGCGGACGTGACATCTTTTGGCACGTACACATGCACTGCTACAAATGTAAACGGTTTCATAACAGCAAAAGGATACATTCAGCCGAGTAGGTTAAATTCTGATTTTTTTTATGCCGAGTCGTATGATTTATTGATATTTTTGTCATTTAAAAATACATTTACACTGAAATATTTTTATCTAAATCACTCAATATTCTTCCATTGTACACATTTTCCAACTAATTTCCTTTATAGTTCTACGTTTCCTCCTCTTTTCTATAACTTGGAAGTGTAAAGTTGCCTCACTTTTTAACTCTTCAAAAATATATCACTATTAAAATTGTACTTCTTAAAAAAAGAGCAAGTTTTCAAGTTGATAAATACGCATTGCTTTTAAAAATAATACAATGTAATTAAAAAAAAAACCCTTCTGTTTTACTTACTGTCTTAAAAAGATCTTACAAATAAATGCAACTGTAAAATATGAATAAACATATGTTGTGAAAATAAAATGAAAGCCATTAGAGTTTTTAAACCTGTCAAAGAAGTTTATTGAACAACAGAATAGTAATCACGTATTTATTTTTTTAACCAAGAATTTCATAGCACAACAACTACAACAATCAAGCCCACTACCACAACAACCACGCCCCCTACTACAACAACTACGCCCACTACCACAACAACCACGCCCACTACCACAACAACCACACCCACTACTACAACAACCACGCCCACTACTACAACAACTACGCCCACTACCACAACAACCACGCCCACTACTACAACAACCACGCCCACTACTACAACAACACCCACTACCACCACAACTATGCCTACGACATCTTGTCCACATGGTTGTTGTGACAAAGACGCACGTTGTAGTGATTTTACATTTGTATCTACGATCTGTCTTGATCCCTCTAGGGGACACCTTTGTGAGAAAACCTGTGGACTGTGCTCTCACACACCTGCACATACAACAAAGCCCCCTTGTATTGATACAGATCCGAGATGTTCTGATTTTAGTTTTGTGGCTGTTGCTTGTTTAGACAATCAGCAAGCTAAGACTTGCCCAAAAGTATGTGGAATATGCTAGGCGTTATGGTTATTTCGTATTTTTGTCTGTGAATAAACCAGTTCTTCGAAAATAAATAAAAAGATTGAGTTATCATTTAAACAAAGTGTGCATATGATTTGCTTTATCTGAAGAGGTTTTATATCATCAACAAAGCAATGCGACACACAGCGTTCACTTTGCCCAGAGTCTTTTGTCTGTTCGTCTGTCAAATAGTCCATTTATTATAACAAATCTTTAGAACTGTAAAAAAGTAGCTAGAAATTTGAAGTGTTGCTCACAAATTGCTGGTCTCAATAGATTACATAAATTACCATGCTTGCTAGTTTTGATCTTTTACCTGACCTTTAATCGATCGGGGTTCTTTAATGTAGCTTATTAGGTCGAGGAACCTACCTTATATTGAAATTGCTATTATGACACACAGCGGACCTCACCATACACAGTTGTCAATTCCGCTAAATAAATGTTGATCTTAAACATGTTTACATTTTCCAGCACACCCGTGGTTCTTGCAAATAAACGAGGTAATATTAATTAAAATGCAAGAAACACAAACAATTGAATCTCATTTCATTGCATTTACAAAATATTCAAATATTAGGTTGTCACAAACGTGTTTCATGCTTGCATTAAGAAAAGAAGTTTTTCTGAGTTAAATAATGTATTCAAATCCTATCACAAAACTATTACAAGACTAGCATTTAAATCTTGAAATGGCCAATACATGATAATACGCGTGGATATCTTTATGACTATAATCTTGGTCAAGAGAATACATGTGAAATTTGTATTCACTGATACAACAAAACGGGAATACAAGCTGTGGTCCACATGTCGCCTTATACGATATGAATGTGTAAGAAAAGTAGCATTCTACGTTTATAAATCAGGTACATTGTACTTGTTTATGTGAGCATGGAAATAGTAGATAATATAGAAAATATTTTATTTAATTTGTAAAATGCATGAAAAAAAAAATAAAATATGTGCCTCAAAGAACGAATAGAAAAAATTAACACAAAACTTCAGAAGTATTCTTGTTATGATCCATAATGCAATACATCTCGTTTAGCCGATTGGTCAATGTGTAAATCAAGTTCGTGTCTAATTTAGTATTTGAATATATTCTGACGTCGGAAAAAAAAGTTTCCTTGGCCTGTTCATAACAAATGCGATATACACTCTTTTTCGATCTATGAGAAGTAATTTAAGTCATTTACATTGCTTGTTTTAAGTTACATGCCCGACATCTAATACTCGTGTGCTACTAAATAATAAGTAGCCACATTTTTGATTTTTCTATATCATTCATGTTGCCATTGCATCTACAGATGTGTCATTTTAACACTTTAATTATGATATAACGGAAATTATGAACTTCGATAACTTTTTTAACCTAGATTGAACTGCACTTGATTAGTGGTACATAATCCAAAATAACAAGAACAATCAAGGTTTCATTGTAGAACTTTTTAATTAGTTAGTTTGTTTGTTTGTTTATTGTTGTTGAACGTCCCTCTCGAGAAATTTTCACTCATATGGAGAGCTGCAAATTTTGATCTATACTCGGCACTCAGGGTCATTGAGCAGTGAGGGATCTTTTTTCGTGCCAGCACCTACTGAGACGCGGGACCTTGGTTTATACGGTCTCATCCGAAGGACCGGTCTCCATTTCCTGGAGTGGGATTCTAATCCGCGATGTAAGGATCAACTCCTTACTCTGTGACTGTAGAGCAAACGCTCTAACCATTTAGAACTTGAGTCAATAAGGTATTACATACAGACTGGACCGCCGTTTCTTTGCCTGTAAACTGTGAACCCTGCTGCAACCAATTCCTGTAATAGTATCTGTTAGTAAAAGGGAACATAAAGTGTACATCATCCTTACCCTCTATTTCTATGGGAAAAGGCCACGATCCCTGTAATTAATGCATAGAAATTTTTCTTTTACTGCTGGGTCAAAATATGCACTGAACAGGGATTCAGAAATATAATAATTGTGTCTTCTGATTTTATTTTTGAGGTTCAACGAAAGTTTTTTTTCACCATAAACTGAAATTGTATGGAATCTGTCAAAATCTTTGATTCATCAAAACGTAGAAAGCAAAATATATTACACAGTGAGATATATATATATATATATATATATATATATATATATATATATATATATATATATATATATATATATATATATATATATATGAATAATATAAACGCATGGTATTGATTTACACTTCGAACGCGGTCGCTTTTCGCTGAAATTTATCTTAACATCTTTTAAGTACTTTTAAGCATAGACAGAAAAAAACCAAGAAATCTGCATAATTTTCTGCCCGTTGATTCCACGGAATTTCCTTGGGGAAAAGTACAGTACCTCAGAGGGGGAAGGTATTTCTTTATATTTATTCATAAATCCTTCATAAAGCCTTAAAACCTATCAAAAATAAGACATATGCAAGGTTAGTAAGTGTTTGTCTCAAAACTCCAATTTTAAGCTCATAGATACTTTTTTTGTAATTTTAACTTGCTTTATATTTCTTCTTGATACAATATACATATCCTTGCTGAAGTATATGCTTCAGTACCTTCATGCAAATAGTATTTCAAATTTTGTAATAGATTTCCGATAAGAATTAGAATTACTCTCTAGAAATCACTTTAGTTTTGTTGTTACTCTTTCTAGATAATATTCTTTTATGTACAGAATGTTATTCAGAAACACTCAATGTACGCAAGTACAGACTGATAATAGTCAATTTATTGAGTCAGAGTTCAGGCTCTTATCTTTTTAGTTGTAATGTGCATGTAAAGAGATGAACATTTATGGATTTCTTACATCGAGAGAAGGTAAATTATAAGAGGAATTTTTTTAAATAACAAAAGATGAATTTATTAGTTTTTCTTTTGCTGATTATGTGGAAAGCTTATTTGAAAAAACCTCTAAAAGTATGAGAGTTTACCAGTATATGGGTAATATTTGGGAACTTTCCAAGGATTGTACATTTTTACCGTTTCTCTATCATGTTTATATCATGTTTAGATGGATTTTGGTGAAAGTGAACTATGGCCCGACGTTTAATTGGAATGTCTTATTTTGCAACTTTACGAAATTTTCTTAAAATATTAATATTCATCTGTAAAGCAGACCTATAGTTTCATGCTCATTAAACATCTGTCTGATTGTATGAATCCTAGGCATCTTAAAGCACGGCAATGGAAGTTTTGATAAAAAATTATTTTGTTATGTTGGAAATTTATATACATTTATTTTCATAAACTGCCTTAATTAATGAAAACACCACAGCATTGTCCATGTGAGGTTTGATTTTTATTTACATAAGAGTTCATATATTCTATTGAATTTAAGGTTCATTGAAACTCTGACAAGATAGATAACTCTTAATAATATAAATGTCTATTATTGCTAAACAATTTTGTTAAATTGAAAAGTCTATTATGTCCAATCTTGCCTCTCAAGCTATGCGAAAAATGTTTGCATTTTACTTATAAATGCATTTCCTCAGGAAAACCCTAAAGAGTTAAAGAAATATTTTATAGGAGAGACCAGAGGGTTTATGAACCTTAATTTGCATTTTCATTTTCTTTATGATAGCGCTCACAGAAACTAAATGTATCATAAATAAAAATGTTAACACAGATATGCTCTAAAAACTTCATGGAATTCGTACATGTCAGATATATCTACAGGGTTAATAGGATAAGTTTGTATTGTAGAAGGAAATGGTAAATTCATACTTACAACACGCTTATCTTTGAGCCAGTGATAGACAAAAATGAATGGTCACCTGGATGATACAAATAATTGATACATTAAATCAATTTTATCTCCTGTTTCTGTTTTGTTATATCCGTACGCATGTACCGTATCGTCTTGATTTACTTATTGGTTTAATTGCATTCTACACTAAATCTTTTTCTATAATGGTGCTGTAGATACATCGGAGAGAACTCTAATCTTTAATTTACTAATCGACAAAATGTAGCATACTTGCAACATTCAAAGTATGCCTGGCATTATGTAAGGTAATAGTACAATACCTGTATACCTAAATCTGAGAATAAAGCTGTCAATTTTTACGCATCTGATCACACCAACACAAAAGAAAAGAAATTACTACAAATATTTGATAATAGAAAAAACGTAAAAAATGCAGAAAGTAATATGGAATCCCTGGACAGAATTCCTAAATTAACCATTTTTGAGCTATTGAAGAGACATTTTAGTATTAATATTTCAAAACATCTCTGCATCCACATGACATAACCATGAAATTGAAGAAAAAAAATTCTTCCATAAAATTGCAGGAAGGGGTTACAATGACAAGCATAATTTTAAAAAGAAGCCTATTAATTGCACGCTCGCTATAAACGTCCTCTTTTGTGATAAGTCATATGAAGAGTTACTGTTGGCTAGACCGCAGATGTGTTCCAATTTAAACAAAGTATAACAAACTGGACAAACATTATACATGTTAAGTAACCATACGAGAATTCTTTAAACTAGAAAAGAATATTACATGCAGACATTGATTTGACATAGTTTTGATACTGGTGATAATGCAGAATGAAATTGCCTGACATCTGGTCTAAAAAAGAATGTTTCCTGGTTTTTTTCTTGTCGATTGAAATTGATGTAAAGTATTTGGTCAATTCTGTATTCTCTTGCCATTACTAGATTTTTTTTTTATCTTAAGTTTGTACAAATCTGTAATAACATTTTAAATTGAAGAATTCTCTTTATTTATAGGGCCCAAGGTCAGTTGCCTGTGCATACTTGTGTTATTTTATCATTTTGAGGGTGCGTATCTCCTTGTCTCTTATAAATAAGACCGTTTCTTCTTTGAAACGGAAGATATTGTAGAATATTTGTTAAAAAAGAGTTAAAGATACTGTAGAATACTTGTTAAACGCTTTTTTGAAAATAAAAACAAATTAAATTCCTGTGGTTGATATTTAGTATAACGCGTTTTCGATATATGAAACTTACATTTTGA